TGGGACTACAGGCACGCGCCACCATGCCCAGCTAATTTTTTGTAGTTTTAGTAGAGACGGGGTTTCACCATGTTGACCAGGATGGTCTTGATCTCTTGACCTCGTGATCCACCCACCTCGGCCTCCCAAAGTGCTGGGATTACAGGCTTGAGCCACCGCGCCCGGCCTACTTTTCGTATTTTTTAGAGATGGGAGGGTCTCAGTATGTTGTCCAGACTAGTATGAGCCACGATGCCCAGCCTGGTTTCACTCTTACTGGATAAAATGTTGGGGTGAGCACCCTGGTAGCTCAAGCTCTGCCTACGCACTGGTTATCTGTGCTGACATCTAGATTGATTTGGCAGTTTAAGATGGCGTAACTCTCTTGGTTCCATTCACTCAGGTGAGTCTGTCGATCAGATCCAGGTGGGGCCCCTCCCTGACACTCCAGACTCTTGGATACAACTGCCTACCCCATCTTTCCTCTTCTAACGTGCACCTCAAGCCCAAACAGCCCAGCTAGGGGAGGGATGTTACCCACAACCCTTATCCCTAAACCTCCTCCCTCTACTCCTCAGCCTTCCATGAGATCAGACAACAGCAGCTCCATCCTTCAAGTGGCACCAACCAGAATCTTGGGTTATTCTCTGTGGCTTTTTCTGAGACAACCAAGAAATTCTGTGGGCTCTGCTTTCAGAATCTGAACACTTCTCACCCTCTCCCCTGCTACATGTTGGTCCAAACTATCTTCATCTCAATCTCAGGGGGTCTCTTTCCACTCAGCCTGTCCTCCCCACAGCACCAGAGGGCGCCTGTGAGCCCCTGAGTCAGGGCACATCTCTCCCTTGCCTCCACGGCTCCCACCCCTGGTGGTGGGGGAAGCCAAGGCCTCCCCAAAGCCCACCAGGCACTGCACAACCTTCCCCATCTTCTCCCTCCCTCACTCTGATCCAGCCATACAGGTCTCCTTGCTGTTCCTTCAACACAGCAGGCACTGCTCTGCCTCAGGGCCTTTGCACAAACTGTACCCTTGACCTGGAACACCATCCCCGAGATCTTTCCTCTTCATTGAAGTCTTTGTTGAAATATCACCCTCTCTCAGGCTCTCCTTAGCCTTTTTTTTTTTTTTTTTTGAGACAGAGTCTCACTGTTTCCCAGGCTGGAGTGCAGTGGCTCAATCTCAGCTCACTGCAACCTCTGCCTCCCGGGTACAAGCGATTCTCCTGCCTCAGCCTCGCGAGTAGCTGGGATTACAGGTGGGCATTAGCACACCCAGCTAATTTTTGTATTTTTAGTAGAGACAGAGTTTCACCATATTGGCCAGGCCGGTCTCAAACTCCTGACCTCAAGTGATCCACCCTCCTCCACCTCCTAAAGTGCTGGGATTACAGGTGTGAGGCACTGTGCCTGGTCAGCCACCATATTTTTAAATTCTGCCCCCACACAGCGGGTTACTCTTTTACCTCCTTGGATTCCTCTGAATTACTGACCACTGTCTACCTATTGCATCATTTACTTGTTTATTACATTGACTGAGGAAGTCACAGGAGATCTCTTATCCGCTTTCCTAATCTGAAAAATGAGCACTCATCCATTCAACAAACACCAGAGGGCTACTGCTGGTACAGCAACAAGGCAATCTGGCCTCTCGCCCTCAGGGAATTGACCAAGTAAACAACTAAATGACCATGGTAATGGGTAGCTATGATGATGAAAACTGGGCAGAATTTTTTTTTGTTTTTGAGACAAGAGTCTCGCTTTGTTGCCCAGGCTGGAGTGCAGTAGCCTGATCTCCGCTCACTGCAACCTCCACCTCCCGATTAACTGGGATTAGAGGTGTGCCACCATACCCGGCTAAATTTTGTATTTTTAGTAGAGACAGGGTTTCATCATGTTGGCCAGGCTAGTCTCGAACTCCTGGCCTCAAGTGATCCGCCCACCTCGGCCTCCCAAAGTACTGGGATTACAGGCGTGCGCCACCGCGCCGGGCCTTTATATATATATATATATATATATATATATATATATATATATATATAAACTCTTTATGTAGGGAAACAGGCACAAAGAGGCAAAATATGTCTTGCAAGAAAACATGGCTGATGGCTGTGCTGGGATCCAAACAAGGCTCCCCAAGGTTGCAGCTTTTGATCCCTGGCTCTCAGGCAGCCTCAGGGAATCCATTCAAATATGCGGGTCAGACCGGTGGTAGTTAACACTACGCAGGCGCGTGATTGGGGGGGTGGGGGTTGGGAGGCAGAGTGGCGCGCAGGCGCAAGAGGCGAGGCACGGGTCGGGTAAGAAGGCCCTGGAATGGGGCTCAGGCGCAGAAGCGGGTGGGCCGTATCGGAGGGCAGGAAAGGCGCACAGGCGCAGGAGGTGATGAGGAAAACAAGGCCCTGGAACGATGCGGGGGCGCAGGCGGCGAAATGAGTGGCGCGCAAGCGCAGGAGGGTGGGTGCAGGGGAGGCGCGCAGGCGCAGTAGGAGCGGGAGAGGCGCGCAGGCGCAGTAGGAGCGGGAGAGGCGCGCAGGCGCAGTAGGAGCGGGAGAGGCACGCAGGCGCGGGCCTTCTGGCGGCACTTTGAGAAAAGTTTTGGCGACGCCCGGACAGTCCTTGCGGTACTCCATGTAGGTAAGCAGGTGGCAACTGTCTCTGTAGTTGGAGCCGGGCGCGATGTATTTGGCATACGTAATGGCTGTGTTCGAGGCCGTGTTGTGCGCGGCGAGGGGGTGTCTCGTTGCTGTTAGTCCTTGCTGAGCCGCAGTCGCGCCTCCCCGTCGCGCTCGGTGGTCCAAGTAGCTCAGCCCGCAGACAGGCGGGTCAGCGGCGGCCGAGACCCCCAGGTGGACCCAGAGAGAAGCGGGCAGGTGGAGTGTCAGCGGCAAAACCAGGGAGAGATGGGGGCACAGGCAGGGGGCGTGGCACTGAGAGGGGGCAGACACAGGAGGCGTGAGGTATGAAGTGGATTGCCGAGGGAGAAAGAGATGACCAACGAGCCACAGAAGGGGATGCGGGGACAGGTGGACAGTCAGACGCACTGACCCAGAGAGAGAGGAGTTCAGCTGTACGCGCACGAGCAAGTAGACAGGTCAGCGGCAGGCCCACTGTCCCTCCCGGGCGCCTTCTTCTCCTCAGTGACCAGAAACTTCTGACAACTGCTGACCACCTGCACCCCCTCCACTGCCCCCCCTACACCCAGCCGGGCACCCTATGACGGTGACCTCCATGCTCCCATCCCATCAAGGCAACCTCTGAAGGGACAAATCGAACCCTAAAGATCCTAACACTGGCTGAGCTGCCCTCGGCCAGCCCTGAATCGCTAGCTCCCCCGCTCTCAAACTGGCTTCGCTGGGAACCCCACTATGCTCACCCAGGAGCCAAAGAGTCCCAACCTCTGGTTTTCTTTTCTGGATGTTGAGTGCCTTTCTGCCATGGACTCTGAACCATGCCCTGGGCCCATATACATAGCAACATGATTCACAATAGCCAGAAAGTGGAAGTAATCCAAGTGTCTACTGATGGATAAGTGGATAAATTTATCCACATATATATGTGTATACACACACATGTGTACATACATCATGAAATATTACTCAGCCTGAAAAAAGAAATGCTAATACCTGCTAAACATGGATAAGGCCAGGCGTGATGGCTCGTACCTGTAATCCCAACACTTTGAGGGGCTGAGATGGGAGGATCTGTTGAGGCCAGGAGTTCAAGGCCAGCCTGGGCAACATGGGGAGACCCTATCTCTATTTAAAAAAAAAATTATTAAAAACTTGAAAACATTTTTAAAAAGGATGAACCATAAAGACATTATCCTCAGTTAAATAAGCCAGAAAATGACAAATATTCTTACAATTCCACTTTTAAGGTGCTTAAAGTAGTAAAATTCAAGAGACAGAAAGTAGAATGATAGCTTTCAGGGGAAGGGAGAATAGGGAATTGTTTGATAGATGTAAAGTTTCAGTTTGAAAAGATGAAACTTCTAGAGATACATGGTGTTTATGGTTGTACTACATTGTGAATGTGCTTAATGCTACTGAACTGTGTACTTAAAAAGGGTTAAAATGACACGTTTTATGTTACGTATTTTTTACCACAGTTAAATTTTTTTTTTTTTTTTTTTTGAGACGGAGTTTCGCTCTTGTTACCCAGGCTGGAGTGCAATGGCGCGATCTCGGCTCACCGCAACCTCCGCCTCCTGGGTTCAGGCAATTCTCCTGCCTCAGCCTTCTGAGTAGCTGGGACTACAGGCACGCGCCACCATGCCCAGCTAATTTTTTGTATTTTTAGTAGAGACGGGGTTTCACCATGTTGACCAGGATGGTCTCGATCTCTTGACCTTGTGATCCACCCGCCTCGGCCTCCCAAAGTGCTGGGATTACAGGCTTGAGCCACCGCGCCCGGCCACCACAGTTAAATTTTAAAAGCCTTCCTGACGTTAGTAGATTCTTAGCATTTCTCAAAGTACATTGAGAGAACTTTAAGAGAACAGTGAGACCAAGGTGAGAATCATTGTAGAAAATACATACATTCCTCTCCTGTATTTGAGCATCCCCCACTTGACAATATGATCAACCACTTGTATTTCCTTGATAACGAATCAATATTGAAAATGAAGTGAAAAAATACTTGCAAAATATATGTGCATCTCTGTAAAAAGGTTACACATTTTGAGAACTAGGTTAGCAGTGAGGTGTCTAGATAACATACAAAAATCAACAGCATTTCCATATACCAACATTAACTACCTAGAAAACCTAAAAGTGGGGAGATAAAATGGACAGTAGAAACAAACTATAAAATAGAATTATGTTGACCAAAAATTTTACAGTATAGTTATGGATAAAAGTATAAAGGTTTGGCTGAATTCAGTGGCTCATATCTGTAACTTCAGTCCTTTGGGAGGCCAAGACAGGAAGATCCCTTGAGCCCAGAAATTTGAAGTTACAGTGAACTGGGATCACGTCAGTGTACTCCAGCCTGGGTGACAGAGTGAGGCCCTGTGTCTGTTTTTAAAAAAATCAAAAAGGGGCCAGGCGTGGTGGCTCACGCTGTAATCCCAGCATTTTGGGAGGTCGAGCTGGGTGGGTCACGAGGTCAAGAGATCAAGACTATCCTGGCTAACATGGTAAAACCCTGTCTTTGCAAAAAATACAAAAATTAGCTGGGTGTGATGGTGCACACCTGTAGTCCTGGCTACTCAGGATACTGAGGTAGGAAAATCGCTTGAACCTGGGTGGCGGAGGTTGCACCACTGAACTCCAGAGCAAGAGTCCATCTTAAAAAAAAAAAATCAAAAAGGTTTACTAACAGAAACACAAAAATGCAGAAAAAGTGCCATGAGATATACCTCAGAAAGGTTGCTGTTTACACTGTGAGAGCTGAAACGAAGCCAAGCATTGCCTTGTTCAGCCTCAGTTGGAAAGGTACAGTGGGCCATTCAAATTTTTCACTCCTCTGTGTATGTCCTGGACTGACCTCTAAAGTGCCATAAATATTGATTTGGGAGTTACCAGTAAATTTTAGCAAGGAGCCAGATTTGTAAATACGGAATTGGCAAATAATGAGGACTAACTGTACTAACTTATTAAAAAGTAAAAGCCCACCAAATAGTTGAGGAGGGCCATTGATGTGGTTTGCATATTTGCCCCAGCCAAATCTCATGTTGTATTGTAATCCCCAGTGCTGGAGGTGGGCCTGGTGGAGGTGTTTGGGTCATGGCGTGGCTTGGTGCTGTCTCCCCCGTGGCTTGGCGTTTGCTGTCTGCATGATATTGAGTTCTTGAAAGATCTGGTCATTTAGGAATGAGTGGCGCTCTCTGGCTTGCCCTGGCTTTGGCCATATGATGTGCCTGCTCCCCTTTTGCCTTCCGCTGTGATTGTGAGCTCCCTGAGGCTTCACCAGAAGCTGAACAGACCCCAGCACCATACTTTCTGTAAAGCCTGTAGAACCATGAGCTAATTAAACCTCTTTTCTGTATATAGGGTCCCATCTAAGATATTCCTTTATAGCAATGCAAGAATGGCCTAATACAGCAATCAAATATGACATTAGCCTTATCTGCACTGCATTAATTTTTTTTCGCAAGGAGAATGCCATTTTAAATTTCTGGTACATTAAGAAAAATGAAACTCAAAATGGGCTTGAGTATCTAGAACCTTAAGGAACACTGGGAGTTTTGTTGCTCCTGATACGCTGTTTCTCTCCAGGCTGGGAGATGTTCCCTCTCCCGCTCTGCCTACTAATATTTCAGGGACACACTGTGAATATGCCATATCAGCTCTGGTCTGCTTATAATGGACTGTTGGATGGGAGGTGAATAAACTATCTTCCTTAAGGTGTTACTGAATTTTACTGCAACAGCAAAACTCATCCCTAATGATGGAATTAGTCAAGAGTCATACCTTGACTGTTTAGTTAACCAAGACTGACTGTGTTGATGGTAACCATTAGCTCATACTGAGGACTTTCTGGAGTCAGACACTGCATTCCCTGTACCTCATCTCCATGTCCTTTCATGGCGACCCTCTGAGATAGGAATCTACTTTTCAGATTTAAAATCTCTGAGCCTCTGACAATGGAAATCACAGCTGCTCAGAATTTGAACCCAGAACTGATTTTAGAGTCCAAGCCTCTCCCCATCACACTAAACAAAGGACAAAAGTATTTTTGTGTCACACCAAAAATCAAGACATGGGACCCTGAAGTACTTTTTTTTGTCAGAACTTATTGGAAAAGTTTCCCAGTTGCCTCCAGGCAGGTGAGTTGATTTTGGGGCCCAGTTCTTAAAATTTGTGAAGGCTTTTTCTTTCTAATGTCTCATCAAGTCCCCCGAGGAGAAAAAAATCAAATGGGAGCCCGCAGTTCAGATTTTTCTTCTAAAACAGGCCGTTCTTTGTAGACTCCCCAATAGGCTTCCCTGGAATCATGACTTCTTCTAGGGAGCACCTCTTCAACAGATGAACAGTCAAGAAACTGACCAATAAAGAATGTGGCTTCTGAAATACAGGAGGGAGAGCTTCTATCCAGAGCAGCACTTCACTTATTGCAATGAGGTCTTCCTGCCAAAGGCTGGAAGAGTAGAAACACAAGTTATCACATGGGGATTCTTGTACTATGTTCACTCAGTCTCCAAGATCCCACAGTTACCATATGATGAAAATATTCTGGAGTGAATTGATCCATTTATAAATTGGCCCTCACCCAAAATCTCTCCACAATGAACTTTTTAGAGTGGCACTATCCAAAAGAAGTATTACCGGAGCTACCTATGCAATTTAACAATTTATAGCACCCACATTTGAAAAAAGGAACTTGGGCAGGCCCAGGGGCTCACACCTGTAATCACAGCACTTTGTGAAGCTGAAGCAGGAGGATTGCTTGAGGCCAGGAGTTTGAGACCAACCTGGGCAACACAGAAAGACCCCATTCTACAAAAATATTTGAAACATTATGTATGAATGTACCACTGCACTCCAGCCTGAGCAACAGAGCAAGACTCTATCTCTAAAAAGTAAATAAAAAAATAAAACTGGTAAAATCACTTTGAATAATATTTCTTTAACCCAGTATTCCAAAATATCTTCTTAACATGTAATCATGATTTAAAAATACTGCTGAGATATTTTATATTCAATTTGTGTGTGTGTGTGTGTGTGTGTGTGTGTGTGTGTGTGTGTGTGTGTAAAAGGGTCTATCTCTCACCCCCACATCAATGTCTAATAGTTTTTCATTCAACTGTAAAGTGAAATTGGAAATCTTTGCAGAAGACGAGGAATAATGAATGTGGTACGTTGAACTGCTGGGCCCACCCACACTTCATCAACAGATGAAGGTGTGGAAGGGTTTAAACCAGTCAACAGTGAACAAAGGACAGTGGAGACGGTGAGTTACAGGCTGAGTTGTATCCTTCCACATTTCATATGTTGAAGTCCTAACCTTTAGTACCTCTGGATGTAACTTATTTGGAAACAGGATCATTATAGAAGTTAACATGAGGCCATTAGCGTGGGCCCTAATCTTACTAATCTGTCCTCATAAAAAGGGGAAATTCGAACACAGAGACACCCAGAGGGAAGATGGTGTGAAGACACAGAGAGAAGACAGCCATCAGCCAGCCAAGGAGAGAGGTCTGGAATGGATCCTCCCCTCATAGCCCTCAGAAGGAACTAAGCCAGTCAGCCTCTTGATCTCACACTTTTCACCTCCAGATCTGTGAGACAAGAAATTTATGTTGTTTAAACATAAATTTAAACAACATAAAACCACAGCCCTCCAGTCTGTGGTACTTCGTTATGTAGCCCCTGCAAACTAAGACGTGGGTTGGCTTGTGGCATTAAAACACTTTGCCCATGTGAAGGTTACAGGCAGTCTATAGGACAATTGAAGATGCATTCTACTTTCTGTCTGCACTGTGCATCTAGCTATATTAAAGAAAAAAAACAACAACTCAACAACTAAGTGATTTGTGGTGTCATGGAGGCTCCCTCTGCACATGTCTTGGGGAAAGGAGAGGAGAAATGGTGGGTAGTGGAAGTTCAAGTCTCCATCCCTTATTATCTGTGTAATGGGCCAGCACACCTCATTCTCTGGATTCCTGGCAAGTAGAACTTTTTCCACTTGAAGTTTCTGACAAAAGGCCTTCTCCAAATAAGACCCAATGAGACATTTGTGATTTATTGCCTCCTACTTTCTAAAAAAGGCGGGAAGCACAGCTGACAACATTGGTGGCCAACTGAAGGAGTTTACATACCTTACCATGATCCTGGTAGAGTAGAGACAGCATGAGTTGAAGCCTGCTACTCAGAACCCACTGCAACTCGTGTGTGTATGTGTGTGTGTGTGTGTGTGTGTGTGTGTGTGTGTGTGTTTTGAAGCCTGCTACTCAGAACCCACAGCAGCTGTGCACGTGTGTGTGTGTGTATGTTGTGTGTGTCTTTTGCAATTCCAATCACAGATCTGCCCTCTCTTGGACTCAGAGGGCTCAGAGGAGCCCTCTCTTGGGGTCTGAATGCACCGCCCAGCAAAGCTTAATGCATTGCCCAGCAAAGCCAAGCAACTGAGTCTCACCATCAGGACAGCTGAGAGCAGCTCCATCAAAGCAGTCAGTGGTACATTTGATCAATTTGTTTTTTGTATTTCTGGGCTATAAAATGTCTCTTAAGTTTCATCATTGGACCTATTGAGAAAGGAGAAATTAATGGAGTTGTGGAAATAAAAGAAAATTCCACATACCCATGCATGACCAGGCAACAGAGTCCTATGCTTGGGGCTGGGCTGGGTGGCTGGCTGTGCCATTGACTTTCAGGGTGTGTCACTTTTGCTATCTGTATGGGGATGATAAAACTTTCATGTGGTCCTTCAGCTGTAGTGAGGATTCTGTGAGCTGGAAGGTGGAGAGCATGCTGCACTCTGTGCCTGATGTGGACTGTGCACCCAATGGAGGAGGGATATCATCATCTCAAACCATGCCCCTATCCCCATTTTACAGGTGAGGAAACTGGGGATTAGAGGGGACCAGTTCCTATGAGGTCAGCCAGCAAGTGCTTGGCAGAATCAAGACTCAAACTGAGAGTTGTCTGCTCCCATAGCCCAGGACATTCATTGAAAGCCTCTGAGTCACCAGGGGCTCTGGGTGTCCCAAGCAACCCCACAAGAACTGTGTTTTCAACTGATAGATGAAAAGACCACCAGCCTGGACAACATGGCAAAACACCTCTACGAAACAAAAAGAAAAAATTAGCCACACATGGTGGCGTGCACATGTCCCAGCCACTCAGGAGGCTGAGGTGGGAGGATCACTTGAGCCTGGGAGTTCAAGGCTGCAGCAGCAAGCCGTGATCCTGACATCATACTCCAACCTGGGTGACAGCGAGACCCTGTCTCAAAACAAACAACAACAATAACAAAACACACAAGACTCAGTGGGACAAATCCCTTCCCTGTGTAGAGGGAACAGGATTTGAACCCAGGTTGTTCAATGCCACTTGCTTACTCTGACTCTTCCATCCACACCATCAAATTATAGCCGAGCGCTGGTAGAATCCAGTATCCCTACTCTGGAGTGAGCCCTACCCTCAAAGGGGAAGAGAGGCAAAAATACAACTCATACAGAGAATAATGTCATGTTCTGATGTTTTATGGAGGCAAGAAGACACGGTGGTATAATGGGGATGATGGCAAGCTACAGGTAAATTGTTAAGGACAATGGCAAGCCACTTTAGCCACCATGGTCAGGAAAGGCAGAAACCATGCCTATAAACTTTATAAAATTAATCACAGAAGAAGGGAGGGGAAGAAACTAAAGTCAGCCACACTTACAGCACACTTAGCATTCATCATTAGGTCAGTTTGCTCTCTGATCCCTTCCTCATAGCTAGCTGTTTGCCTGTTGTTCCAGAATCACAAAAAACCCAGTTGCAAGATACAGGTCCCCTTAACTGCTCTACAGATAACGTATTAAGCATTGTGAAAGATTAAGTTTTCCTTTTTTTTTTTTAATCTGCCTTGGAAAGTTTTCCTTACTTAACCATTGTGAAAGGATATCTTTGAGATATCCTTTCAAGTCCTGCATACCAGTGAAACTACTGATGCCCACTGATCTGAAGGACCCCACAGGAGCTGCCTTACCAAAGACTGTAGCTTACACATCCTGATGATTTCATCCCTCTTACCTCAACCAATCAATCACTCTAATTTTCCAGCCCTTCACCCCCAAAGATCCCCTTAAAACTCCAGCCCAGAATTCTCAAAGAGAGATTTGAGGGTTCCTTCCATCTTGGTTGGCCTCCCTGCAAGGGAATTTAATTTCTTTTTTTTGTTTGTTTTTTGTTTTTGTAGGTTTGTTTTTTATTTTTGAGACAGGGCTCACTCCATTTCCCAGGTCGGAGTGCAGTGGCACGATGATGGCTCACTGCAGCCTTGACTTCCCCCAGCTCAACAAATCCTCCCACCTTAGTCTACTGAGAAGCTGGGCTTGTGCCACCATACTCAGGTAATTTTTGTATTTTTTGTAGAGATGGAATTTCACCATGTTGCCCAGGTTGGTCTCAAACTCCTGGGGTCAAGCCATCTGCCCACCTCAGCCTCCCAAAAGTGTTGGGATTACAGGCATCAAACACTGTGCCTGGCCATAATTAAGACACTGTGCCTGTCTTTGCTGCAACCCCTGTTGTCTCAGTATATTGGTATATTACTGTGCAGTGGGCATACAGACCTAGTGGTCCTGTACAAGGCTGCTCTGAGGAGGAAGCGGCCTGTAGGGTGAGACCTGGACAATGAGAAGGAGCCATTCATGCAAAGAATTGAGGGGGAAGGGCACTCCCAGGAAGGCAGACTGGCAGATGCAAAGGCCCTATAGTTGGACAAAGCCCAGAGAGATGCAGGAACATCAAGAAAGCCCACGGATTTGGAGCAGAGTTAATGAAAGGTCAGAAAGAGAGAGATTGTATAGCTCTATAGTAAGGAGTTTGGATTTTATTTCCAGGATGGGGACCAGTTAGCTAGAGGTGGCAGCATCCCTCTCCTGGTTCCTGGCTGATCTCATAGACCCTCTGACCTTCAGGAAAGGGCCTATGTCTTCAGATCCCACACAGTCCCAGGTGCTAACAAGGGACCAGCCTCAAAATGTCATGGCCACTCACCCAACTCTCCACCATAGATGGAAAAGTCCTTCTCCAAGATGACCCACTTTTGAATCTTCTGCGCATTGCTTGTGGCTTCCTGGTTCACGTCATTGATGCCTTCCTGGATAGCCTTGTAGATCAGGGAGTCTTTCCGCTTCACAATGTCAGTCACGGTAGATGCCCAGCTACCCAGATCCCGACAGAAGTCGATGGCCTCCGAGGTCAGATTGTCCAGAGGTTCTCCGCTCATCTGATTGATCTCACACTGCCCCAGGACACCCCTGTCACCACACACTCTCCTTGGCCAGCACCCCTCCCCGGGCCTAAAGACCAAGAAGTGGGTCTTGAACCCACAGGTGTACCCTCCTGACCTTGGGGTGGGGCCAGGGAGCGCAAGGCCAGCAGAGACCCCCCCAATGACAGCAAACCCATGTTACCTTCAGCGTCAGCAACATGGTCAAAAACTTCAGTTTATCTCCTACTAACATGGCGTTACTGATGATCGGGATCTTCTTCTTAACCAAGGTCTCAATGGGAATGGGGGCCACATTTTCAGCACCGGCAGTGATAAGGATTTCTAGAACAGAGCTTGGCTTGGTACGTGTCCCGCCATGACAGCGTGCAACCCCCAACCCCTTGGAGATCAGAAGGGCAGTTGCTGGCATGGCCAACACTCACCCAGAAAGCCCCAGAAGCACAGGAGGACCTGGCCCTCTTCCCTCACCCACTTTTAATTCCCATCAAGTGTCCAAGTTACGTCTTCCTCTTGGACAGCATCTTAATAATTAATTGCCTGTTTCCTATTTCCTGGTCCACCATGCCCTGGTTTTAGGTTCTTCTGTATGTCCTCCTTGAAAGATAGTGAAGCCTTTTTGGCCACACGTGGTCCATCTGTCTTTTGCTTCTTAATCACTTAGTAACCCCAACAGAATGTAATGTAATTCCGGTCTTACCCCCAGGGACGTGTGTAGCAAACCTAATTTTGGCAAACTCTGAAAGAATCTTTCTCAGTCTCTGAAATTCTTCAACAGTGCCTTTTCCTGCCGTAGACCCACTGGTCACTTGTTCTTTCATCCTGAGATGCTTCCCTCTTTCTGTACCACCCAGCCAAATTCACTCCCCCTTGTCCCGAAGGGACACAGAGTCACCTTTACTGTGGTCGTTAATAGCAGTAATAATAATCAATATGACCATGAAATGGATATCAGTGGTGTAACTCCTCCTTGGAGTAAGAGTACTCTGAGTGGGAACTACTCTCCATGTTTGTTTGTTTGTTTTTAATTTTTATTTATTTATTTATTTTTAATTTATTTTTTTTTTTTGGAGGCACCGCTGGGATTTTTAATTTTTAAAGACAGGGTTTCACCATGTTGGTCAGGCTGGTCTTGATCTCCCAGGCGGATCAGGTGATCTGCCCGCCTTGGCCTCCAAAGTGTTTGAATTACAGGCATGAGCCACAACGCCCGGCCTCTCCACGTTTTAATGTGTGTGATTTGGGTGGGTTGGACTGCAGGGGTGAGCATGTGACCAGCTCTGACCAATCAACATATTTCACCCACAACAGTGATTCATTCTGAGAGAGATCTTGGCCCAAGGATCCAATGAGAGGCCTCGTTTGCTGAAAACATTGAGAATAATACACTCTAGTCTCTTGGGGGGTTAGAGGTGAGCCTCAAGTGTTGGTAGCTTTCTTTGCCATCTTTCAGATGGCAAAATTTCTTTAAGAATAGCAGCGGCCGGGCACCGTGGCTCACACCTATAATCCTAGCACTTTAGGAGGCGGAGGCAGTTGCATCATCTGTGGTTAGGAGTTTGAGACCAGCCTGTCCAACATGGTGAAAACCTGTCTCTACTAAATATACAAAAATTAGCCAGGTGTGGTGGTACGTGCGTGTAATCCCTGCTACTCAGGAGGCTGAGGCAGGAGAATCACTTGAACCTGGAAGGCAGAAGTTGCAGTGAGCTGATATCGTGCCACTGCACTCTATCCTGGGCAACAAGAGTGAAACTCCATCTCAAAACAAAACAAAAGTCAGGGTGCAGTGGCTGACACCTGTAATCCCAGCACTTTGGGAGGCCGAGGCAGGCAGATCACCTGAGGTCAGGAGTTCGAGACCAGCCTGAGCGACATGGAGAAACCCTGTCTCCACTAAAAATACAAAATTAGCCAGACGTGGTGACGCATGCCTGTAATCCCAGCTACTCGGAAGGCTGAGGCAGGAGACTTGCTTCAACCCAGGAGGCAGAGGTTGCAGTGAGCTGAGATCGTGCCACTGCACTCCAGCCTGGGCAATAAGAGCGAGACTCCTGTCTTAAAAAAAAAAAAAAAAAAAAAAAGCACCAGCGGCCAGGCACAGCAGCTGATATCTGTAATCCGACCCCTTTGAAAGCCCAAGGTGGGCAGATCACTTGAGCCCACAAGTGCAAGACCACCCTGGGCAATATGGTAAAACCAGGTCTCTGCAAAAAATTAGCTGGGTGTTGGGGCACATGCCTGTAGTCCTACTTAGTCAGGAGGCTGAGGTGGGAGAATCACCTGAAAGGGAAGTAAAGGCCACAGTGAGTCATAATTGCACTACTGCCTTCCAGCCTGGACAACAGAGTGAGACCCTCTCTCAAAATAGTACCAGCACAGAGGAAAACTCAAGAAACGAATTTTAAAATTTATTACCTCATTTTGGCACCCAGATTCAGCCAGCTGACCTTTTGGCCAGCTGACCTTTTCAGTTATGTTGAGTCAACAGTTTTGCCGTTTTTTTTCCCTCAAACCTATTTAAACCCATGTTAAGCAGGTTTTAATAAAAATGTACTAAGTGAGGCCGGGCGCGGTGGCTCAAGCCTGTAATCCCAGCACTTTGGGAGGCCGAGGCGGGTGGATCACGAGGTCAAGAGATCGAGACCATCCTGGCCAACATGGTGAAACCCCGTCTCTACTAAAAATACAAAAAATTAGCTGGGCATGGTGGTGCGTGCCTGTAATCCCAGCTACTCAGGAGGCTGAGGCAGGAGAATTGCCTGAACCCAGGAGGCGGAGGTTGCGGTAAGCTGAGATCGCGCCATTGCACTCCAGCCTGGGTAGCAAGAGCGAAACTCTTGTCTCAAAAAAAAAAAAAAAAAATGTACTAAGTGTTCTCCATCAGGTTTTGGCAAACTGTGGCCCTTAGTGGCCAAATACAGGCCACTATCCCATTTTGTATGACCAAAAGCTAAAAATGAGTTTTACATTTTTTAAGTTGCTGGAATTCAAAATAAGAATATTTTTGAAATATAAAAATTATGACACTCATATTGGCAGCTGGCCACACCCATTCTTTATGTGTTGTCAATAGCTGTTTTTGTGCTACAAATCACAGAGTTGAGAAGCTGCAACAGAGACACACGTTTTGTGAACCCAAAAATATTTACTAAAGGGCCCTCTTCAGGAAACGTTGGCTTATCCTTGTTCTATACTTTCTTTAATCCTTACAACTCTGTAGATTATTATTCTCTAAAATTGCAGAAGAAAATGCTACTTTTTAATTCAAGCCCATTTGAGCCAGCTTGAATGAGTTTGAGTAAAAAAAAGTTAAAACTGTTGGCTCAATATAACCAAAAAGTTCAAAAGAGTATGGCTGGATCCAGGTGCCAAAATGTCACAAGGAATTTCTTTATCCTTGTCTTAGTTTCCCTCTGGGTTGGTGCTATTCTGAAAGGGGCTTCAGGAGATTCCAGGGCTTGTCTTTTGCAGTTCCATCCTCCTGAGGGTGGACCATGGGATGCCAAGTGACCAAGAAGTAACTGTTTGCAGGACAGGAGAACAGAGCTGAGTTGTACAGACTAAGGTGTTTCTGCACAGCCCCTCTGGGAAGGTGAGGAACTGGGGTGGCCTTTGTGCTGGTACCCTGGGCCCTTAAATGTTCAGGGTGGGCCTGCTTGCAGGAGATCCCCAAAGAACTCAGCCCCTGGTACCTTTGATGCGGCCAGTGACATAGAGGAAACCCAGACTGTCCAGCTGGCCCAGATCCCCAGAGTGTAGCCAGCCTTCCTCATCAATGGCCTCTGTAGTTTCAGTCTCCCTTTCCAGATAGCCCATGAAGATGTGCCTGCCCCAGAGGCAGATCTCCCCAATGCCATCCTTGTTCTGCTGGAACAGCATGTTCTTACACCCACTCAAGATCTTGCCGCAGCTGAGGGGACAGAAGCAGAGAAACTGAGGCTCATAGAGACAAAGTCAGTCACCCAGCTCTGCCTAGGTCTGCAGCCTAGGCTCCTAATACTCTGCTCAGCTAGAGCAGGCTAGATATGCACCCCAGTGCACATAAGGAGGTGTTTGCTGCAGTGTTTAATCCAGTGTGTCAGATTCCCAAAGGCTTTGTGAACTGGAAAACCCAGCAGTGGCTGAGTGTGGTGGCTCACGCCTGTAATCCTAACACTTTGGAAAGCTGAGGCAGAAGTATTGCTTGAGCCCAGGAGTTCAAGACCAACTTGGGCAACATACGGAAAACCTGTCTCTCTACAAAAATAATAAAAAATAAAAGTTGGGCACAGTGGTACATATCTGTGGTCCCAGCTGCTTGAGAGGCTGAGGTGGGAGAATTGCCTGAGCCCAGGAGGTCAAAGCTGCAGTGAGTAGTGATCACGCCACTGTACTCCAGCCTAGGTGACAGAGTGAGACCCTGTCTCAAAAAACAAACAACAAAAACAAAAATGAAAGAAAGAAAAAGAAAATCCAGCAGCATTGTAGGCTATTTTTGTTCTTTGTTTTTTTATCTCCACATATACCGGCAAAGAGAAAAGTGCTTTTGGCTTAAGGATAGGAACAAAAACCCCTCATCTTTAAGAAAACAGGTAGACCTCTCCGCAGTGATTAGGACAGCTAATTTTAAGAACGACAACCACTTAGAATCTCTTTAGAGGTAAAAGTTACTTTCATAAAACAGTAGCACTGTTTGCAATCTGGGTTCTTCTAATTTTTTAAAATAGAGTTAGCATTGTCCAGGGCAGTTCTAGGATGCAGGAAAGGAAGTATTTTCTCCTTGTGTTGCTGAGATCTCTTTGATTAAGTTAGAAGGGCCAATGGACCCAGATTTAACTGTAGGAATTCTCCCGGTGAGCAAAAAAAAAAAAAATAAAATAAAATAATAATAATAATATAATGGAGACAGGCCTGAGAAATCAAAAGCTGCCTTATGATTTTCCCACTCAAGGCTTTCTAGGTATGTGGAAAAATCCAGAAGCCATAAAAGAAAAGATTGATAAGTTCAACCATCTAAATTTGTGACCACAAATTTCTGCACAGTAAAAAAAAAATCTTAACTAAAATCAAAATACCAATGACAAGCCAGGGGATAAAATATTCGTAACTCATATGAAAGACAAATGGCTGATTTTCTTAATTTGTAAAGAGTGCCAACAAACCAATAATAAAGGGACCAATAATCTAATTTTTAAAATAGGCAGATAATATGGACAGTACATAGGAAAGAAAGTACAAATGACTTTTAGTATATGAAAAGCCTGGGCATGGTGTTTCATGCCTGTAATCCCAGCACTTTGGGAGGCTGAGGATTGCTTGAGTCCAGGGGTTCGAGGCCAGCCTAGGCAACATAGCAAGACCCCATCTCTACAAAAAAAAAAAAAAAAAAAAAAAAATTTAAACTGCTGAGCATAGAGGCTCATACATATAGTCCTAGCTAGTTGGAAAGCTGAGTCCAGGAGTTCAAGGTTACAGTGAACTATGGTTGTACCATTACATTCCAGCCTGGGCAACAAAGTGAGACCCTATCTCTAAAAATACTTCGTAATTAAATTTTTAACAATAAATAAACACATATATGAAAAGATTTTTTTCAAAGCTCACCTGTGCTAAAAAAGAGGGAGTCAGGGAGAAACACAACCGGAAGATTCTATGATAGCTATGATGGGAATTTGAACCTGAATTTGGTATTCTTTTTTTTTTCTTTTTTTTTTTGAGACGGAGTTTCACTCATGTTACCCAGGCTGGAGTGCAATGGTGCGATCTCGGCTCACCGCAACCTCCGCCTCCTGGGTTCAGGCAATTCTCCTGCCTCAGCCTCCTGAGTAGCTGGGATTACAGGCACGCACCACCACGCCCAGCTAATTTTTTGTATTTTTAGTAGAGACGGGGTTTCACCATGTTGGCCAGGATGGTCTCGATCTCTTGACCTCGTGATCCACCTGCCTCGGCCTCCCAAAGTGCTGGGATTACAGGCTTGAGCCACCTGAATTTGGTATTCTTAAAGTTTTCTTATCAGTGGGTCCAACCTTGCAGCCTAGGGCAAGCTGAGCTTGGGAAAAAGCCAGGAATGGCCCATGGAGGTGTTTTGAGATGGAGGATCATGGGAATGAAAGGTAGTGAGGTCACAGGCCGCGAACTTGGAGGCAGACTCACAAGTGACAAACAGGTAGATCATGAAATGTTCAGAGAGCCATCCCCCTTGTCTGTGGCTCTTTGACCATCTAGGGCTTCCCATGGTCCTGCACAGTTAGGACTTGGGGGCTGGAGAACAGGAGCATTCTGGAGACACCATGTCAGGATTCCTCTTAACCCAGAGGCCACCTTCCCCCTCTTGACCCCATGTTATGGGAAGAGCAGGGGTCTGCCCAGGAGGCTGATACCTTAGAAGCCTGTAGTTATTCTGGTGGGATATTGTGTGGGGTCCTGAGCTCTCACTCAACCCATACAATTCACCTATAGGTATGTCCAAGCTTAGAAAGAACTCGGCAGTCTCTTGGTTGAGGGGTGCAGCCCCGCTGATAAAAGAGTGACAGTGATCCAAGCCAAGGGACATCTTCACTTTGCTGAACACGATAGTCTTAGCCATGCGGTAGCTCATGGGAATATTATGTTTCCTGTGAATAAGAATGTATCAAGTGGAAAGGGGGCTGATGGGACCCACTGGAGAAGGCTGAGCCTCCTCCTTCACTAACTACCCTCCCAGCCCTCTGGATGCTGTACCTACCCCAACATCTTTTTTGAGTTGACCTTGAAGCCAATGTTTCTTGCCCACACAAATACCTTCTTACTCAAGCCTGTGAACCTGGCACTATTTTTCTTCACTTCCACTTGCATCTTCTCCCAAATTCGGGGCACTCCCAAGAAGACAGTAGGCTTTACCTCCTTTAGAGTATTTATCAAGGTGCCCTGTATGGAACAAAGCTAGGTTAGCCATAGCAGTGCCTTTCGTGCATCAGGGAGGTCCATCTCTCCTGATCGACCCAACTCTGTCCGAGAGAACATTCCTTCACTGATCAGATCAGGCAGGGCTTCCAACTCAAAGGAGACAACCCATTGGCTGGGTTGGCCAATCAGATTTTTGCACCCTCTGTAGGGATTTGATGAGGACCATAAAACCTGGTAAGATATTTTTGGAAGGTAACACGACAGTCCTATTAACATTTTAAATGTAACCTGTCAACTTCACTTCTATGGGTGAAGTAATTCAGCTGAAGGAAACACAGCTGACACATTCAGGCACACAAACACATTCAAGATATTCCTTGCAGCACTGTTTTGTAACAGAATGGAAACACCTTGCAGGTTCAATGACAAGGGGTTGGCTAAAGAAACTGTGGTCCAAGCATGCAGTGGACTATTATACAACTGTTAAAAAGATGCAAGATTCTCCCCTAAAGTGACTTGTAGGCTCAATGCAATCCCTATGAAAATCTAGGAAGTTTTAAAAAAAAATACAAATTGACAAGCCATTTAAAAAATTTATATAGAAATGCAGAGGACCTAGAATAGCCAAAGCAATTTTGGAAAAGAAAGACAAGATTGGTGGACTTACTACTGGATTTTAAAATTTATTCTGAAGTAGGGTGAACAACTATTCCTGGTTTACCCGGAACTGCAGGAGTATCTGAAATGTGAAACTTTCTGTTTTAAAACTGGGAAAGTCCCATGCAAACCAGGAAAAATTAGTCATCCTGCTATAAAGCTAGTGTAATCAAGTCAGTGTGGCATTGGTGTAAAGACGGATATGCAGATCAGTGGAACAAAACAGAAGATCCAGAAACAAAACCTTACATTTATCATCAATTGATTTTCAACAAAATGCCAAGACAATTTAGTGGAGGTTGGGTGAGGGGACTATTGAAATGCAGAACAAAATAAAACAAACAAAAAAACACCTCCACAGAACTTGGGCTTAGAGCCTTATTTCTCACCAAACACGAAAATCACCTGAAAATGCACTATAGCCCTAAATATAAGAGATCAAACTAAAAGCCTTCTGGAAGAAAACGTAGACGAAAATCTCTGTGACTTTAGGTTAGGCAAAGACTTCCTAGATATGATACTAAAAGCATAAAAGAACCTAGATAAATCAAACTTCAAAAAAAAATAAAAAATAAACTTCATCAAAATTAAATGCTTTTTCCTCTTCAAAAGATTATTGAGAAAACAACAAGCCACAGAACTGGGAGAAAGTATTAGCAAACCACAAATTTGGTAAAGGATTTGTAACCAGAATATATAAAGAACCCTAAACACTCCACAATAAGATTAGATATGCAACCAAATTTTTTTTTCGTTTTTAATTTTCTTTCCCTTCTTTCCTTCCTTTCTTCCTCCCTCCCCCTTTCTCTCTTTCTTTCTTTCGATAGA